TCCGGATGAGTGATTGCGGATTCCACAGGTACACGTCGGAAGGAGAAAGGACCGTGCAGAGATTTATGATAGTTCGAAAACTGTTCTAAAGAAAGTTCTGGTTGTCATAGATGTGTAATTAGTTCGTCACAGATATGTAATTAGTTCAATGACAAAGTTCTTGTCGTTACAGTTCTAAAGCAAATCATCACAGATGAGCAAGAACAGCTGCACGTGTGATTTGTGACAAAACCCTGTGTCGTTCAATGACGAATTTCTGTGATGATATCTGATTTCGTCGTAGATATGTAGAGGGAAAGGACCGCCACCAATGATCCACGATGAAACGGAAAAATTCGTCATAGAAATCAATCTTCTATGACAGCTTTTTATTTGTCATTAGGATTTTCATAGTAGATGTGCAGATTTGTACTCGTGTAAGTGGCCTCGACTCACCTTTCACAAGACTTTACTAATCTATATGCATCCATGGATGGATGGCTAGCTCGACGCCTCGATCTACAATTGGTTGCAGCAGCCAGCAGCAGCGATGGGTTTCAACCCTCCGGTGCCACAGCAGGACAGCAACTGGGAGATCCGGGTGGAGCTCCTGCTGAGCCTCCTCCTACAGGTTGTCCTCATCTTCCTCGGGCCCATGCGCAAGCGCTCCGCCTCTCTGATATCCCGCATCATCATCTGGTCCTGCTACCTCCTCGCCGACTGGGTCGCCGACCTCGGCCTCGGCCTCATCCTCAATAATTTGGGTAACATCGGCGGCAGCGGAGGGAACTCCACATCTAGCTTCAACGTCAAGCATGGTGGCGGCAGCGGCACGACTAGTACTGCAGGCAACAGCAGTAGCAGCAACATACAATGTTCTAAATAGCGGGCTAAGCCTCTTAGCAGCTTCCTCCCCAAAGGCTAACAATGGCTATAGCTGGCTAAATAGCGCGCTAAGCCATTTAGCAGCTGACAAAAACAGAGGAAAGAACAGAGCATTCTGGGACATGGCAGCAGTAGCTGCTGCTTGCTCTCCCACGCGCTCGCCGCTTGCTGCTGCCCTTTGCAGTGGCAGTAACAGCAGAAGCCGCCGCGGCGCTCTCGCGACTGTCGCTCGCCGCCGCTCATGCTCTCGCGGCCGCTGCCCGCACTCTCGCAGCTGCCACTTGCCGCCGCTTGTCGGGTAAAACATTAACATATTCGTACTGTTCAATGCTCATGGTCTGATCCTCTGCCGGTTCAGCTTCCTCCCATGGACTAGCAATGTAGCATCTCAATTTCATCTTTGTTGAATTGATGACAAAATATATTAAGGGGTTATTTGGCATTAGCTCGCAACAGCTCTACGAGCTGTGTTGTAAGCTGTTATTTTTTTCTTGTTAAACACTATTTTTTAAAACAGTTTCATGAGTAAGGTTGTTTTTCTTCTTTCTTCGCATAGAGACGAGTAAGGACGAAGCTAAAAAAACAGCTTTTTTCCAACTTTATCTAAAATAAGTGGGCCCTAGTTTGTGTACGTCTCGATTTGTCGTCGAGCAGGTGTCGCGTGGAGTGCGGAGAAGGGGCCGAGCGCAGTGCCGCCTCCTCTCGAGGCTCAGGGCGTGGCCGCTCAGTCGGCACGCTGGACGCTGATCTCTCGGCAGCCAAGCAGGCGTGGCTGTCTTGCCGAGGCTCGATTCTGCGAACAGCCACTGGGTCGACCAGCCGCCACGCCGCGACCATCGGGGACGTAGTCTTTGGGCCCGACCACCCGGGCGCAGGGGTCGAGCCGTGGCGCCAAGTCGCGGGGCAAGCGAAGAAGACGTCATGAAGGAAAAAAATCCTATAAGAAAAATAGAAAAAATAAATAAACAAGGGTATTATAGTCATTTTATTTATTTGGTTCATCATTTGAAGCTGTTTTGCCAAACAGTTTTTCAAAAAAGATTAGCTTCACTCAGAAAGCTGCTTGTAAAGCTATTTCGCAAAAAAAAAAAACAACTTCAATGATGAAGTTGAGCTGCGCCAAAAAGGGCCTAAGCTTGCAAAATCCCAAAGCCAACGTGTCATATGTTATGCAAAAAAACATACAGATAGCTAAAACAGTTATGTTGGAGTAGGCTTGGAGATCACAATCAGGAAGATTTTTTCTTGAATACGCAAGAGCATTGCGTATCATTGTATTAAGAAGATAGAAGTATGAAATAGAAGAGAGACCGTTCCCAGCCGACAGTACAACCAGGAAGATGACGATAGTACATCGTAGCAATGCGCGCGGCTAACGCAATGAATTACGCATCGCGAGTTCAATTAAGCATTATTAATCTTCATCAGGCTCCCCATCAGCGGCCTCTGCTCCTGCTGCTGCTGCTTCAGGCAGCTGCTTCTCCATGTCCTTACTGCTCTCGATGTGGCCACCTGCTGCTGCAGGTTTAGCTTCGGCTGCAGCTTCTTTCATTGGACTAGTATCACCCGGCAAATCCGGCAAGGGATCCAGGACGGCGAAGCCCCTGGCCGCCTCGATGATGGCCACCGGCAGGCCGAGACACTTTTTCACGATGTCCTCCTTCATCTCCTCCAGCTGCTTCAGGAGCAGGTCCTCCTCCACCTTGCCGCCTTCCTTCTTGCGCTTGTCGTCCTTGGCCTGGTCGTACTCCCTCCTGAAGAGCTTCCAGGCGTCTTCCCCTTCCAGCTTGGGCGGGCGGACCACGAGGCCCGTGCGCGCCATGATCTTGGCGTCGTCCTCCTTGCGGCAGGTGACCAGCACGGCGCCCCTGTGCTCCCCCTTGGGCAGGCCGTAGGCGAGGCGGTCCCCCCACTCGCCCTCCGCCGGCGGCTGCAGTGTCAGGTTGCTGTACCAGCACCCGTGTGTGTGCACGTCGTCGTCGTCGCGGCGGTATGCCCGGATGTCGTCGAACACGATCATGTAAGACGTCTTGGACAGCGTCATGTTCAGGATGTAGAGCAGCACTCCTGTTCAATTCGTGCGTCGAATTATTCCATGTTTGCATTGCATTGCATTGCCTTGCCGCCAATTGTAAGTGCAAGATCGTTACACCTACCGATTTTGGATGTCTCGACGGTACGGCTGTTGTCGATCTTCTTCTTGGGTAGCTCCTTGAAGATGCCAGCCTCGGAGACGACGCTCCCCTCCTCCTCCTTCGGCCCATCGCCGGTCGTCTCCTTCTTGGCGGTCTCCACCGCCTGGTTCTGCCCGGGGGCTGCGGCCACCATCTTGGCCGCCTTCTCGCGGATCAGTTCCTTGTCGACGGCAGCAGTCTCCTTCTCGATGGCTGTTGTGACGACGTTGGATTTGTCGACGATGTCCTCGACCTTGGCGGTGTCGAGGCCGAGGTTGTCGAGCATCCGGTAGAGGAGGTTGAAGCGGTCCTCCGAGTCCGGCGGGCCGACGCACACCCACAGGCGGAGCGCGAAGTTGTCCTTGGCCTTGTCGTGCACGAACACCTTCTGCGCCAGCGCCGTCTTGCCGCTGCCGTGGATGCCCGCGATGCCTGCCGCCCGGAACATCCGCTCCGAGCCGTCGGGGGCCACGAGGGCGTCGATCACCTCGCCGGCCTCCTTGTCCCACCCGTAGATCCTCTCCTCGTCCACGTAGCTGGTCGTCCACTCGTAGTACTGCTCCGGCTCCAGCACGTTCTTGGTCAGCCGGAGCAGCAGCGTCAATGACACGCCTTCTTTCTCTTCCTGCTCCTGCTGCTGCTTCTTGCTTTGCTGCTGCTGCTTCCACGCCCGGGGCTTGCAGGGGATGCAACAGGTCGCCGCCGACGCCGGCTTGCTGTCGTCGGCGCCGGCAGAGCTCTCCGCAGCGTCCTGCTGCTCACGCGGCCACTTGCAGTGGTCCGACGACGCAGCCCGCGTTCCTCCAATGCAGCCCTGATGAGGTGCACCAGGTTGTGCAGCTCCTCCCTCTTGCTCCGGGAAGGACATCGTCGTCCTTTACTTCCTTGCCATCGCCTCGAAGTGCGATCTTGGCCTTGATCTGTTCGAGGACCTTGGAGATTTCAGCCAGGACCTTCCTCTCCCCTCATCCAGAGGTTTGTCGGCCAGGGCGTCGAATTCCCCGAACAGCTTATCCACTTCGGGCCGCAGTTCCTGCAGGTCGTAGCTCTCTTCTCCATACTCACTCTGCTTCGCCATGGTCGTCGATAGATAGATACTACTTGTTTGTTTTGTGTATAGATGGAGATCGATGGATGCCACTGATTGCCCATGCTTCATTTATATATAGCCATACACATAACAGTATGGCATGTGATCATCATCAGATGCTTGCTCACTTGATGAGCAAAGCAAAGATGCGATGCTACGATGATATGCTTCCTCTCCCCAGTCCGCAGGGCTTTAGCTTTAACCTTGGACAAGATACAAAAAGACCTTGCATCGCACACCTGCTTCTTTCTGAAGGCAAGGCGACTTCAGCAGGACTGAAGCTGGCCGGTGTGGTTCTTCTGCTCACCCAGCAACTTTGAACAAATGAGTGTACCTACCAAAGAGTGGCACCCAAGTAAGGAACCAGCATTTGATCTCACCTTAATGGATCTTTATCTAGCTTTCTTCCTGTTTGGATGGATGTCTCAACAAGCGATCCCTTATCAAAAAAACCAACGATCATGGCAGGCTAAATGTACCAGCCTTGATCATCACATGGTTCCTGACCAGCAAGCCAAAAAGGAGAAAACATAATAGAATCAATCTTTAGTAAATCGAAGAATTCGATTCATTCATTTGCTTTCTCAAAGCATTCTTCTGTAACACTCTAGTTCTTTTTTTGTTACATTCCTTTGATTGAATACAAGCAGTAGGCAGCAGGTGAATTTTCTTTTTATACATACAGATTACAATGCTGCAGGTGAGGTCAGTAAAGCAGGGACGTCGACAAGGGCAGATAACCTAGGTCCACCTAAGTTGGCAGGATGTGGGATCAGATCATCAGAAACAAAAACAACAGTGTGATGAAGCCAGTTATTGTTAATTTTTCTAGCTAGCAGTAGCGACTCCTCGGAACAGCAAGGGCTGCAGAATCAGGAAGAAGGCTCCGTATCTGGGGTTCTTGTTCTTTCAATGGTGAAATGGTCAACAACCCGCACAGATCTCACAGGGTCCGTGATGAGGCTGACCTCCACTTGCTTGGATGCTTCGGTCATGGCTGAGCTGATGAGGCCCTCTTCCTCTGATTCCCACCTCGGATCCAACTTCCAGCCCTTTGGGACCTGTTTATTCACAGCAGAGCAAAGAAACATTTTGTTTCCCATGTCAGAAGACCAGTGTGCAGTTACATAAGGCGACAGAGTTATGAGCAGATGGGAGCAAAGGAAAGCAGTCTGATCTGTTACCTTGTCAACTGCAAGAGTAAATATTTCCAGATCACCATCCTTCTTAATATGAAACCTTGTGAAAGATTTGTAGTTTATGGCGCGCAGTGATGAGAAGGCTTCATCAAAGTGTATGTGGAACCAGTTGATGCAGATGTACAGGTAGCTACCAAATATGAGGGAAACAACTGGAGTCGAGAAAATCCAGAAATAGATAAACACAGAAGTGTAGTACATGATCAGAACACTCCGTGAAAGAGACATCATTCCGTTCTTGCATATATTTATTCTTGTCACCGCCATGACCTGAGCAAAGGTATAAGGTATAAGCTGTTAGATACTCCGTACTTGCTAAAATCTACAAAACATGGACTGGAAACGAAACAGTAACATGCACCAAATCTTGACAAATTAATCTTCTGTAGTGTAATGCATCACATTTTCAAAATAGTTAAATTCTGAATTTGTGAAGTTAGATTACTAGTTCTTGCCCATACAACATATAAAAAATTTTTACAGTAGATCATAGTTTATTCTACAACTGCAGATCCATTCCTCAAGGAATGTCCAGACAAGCACACTGTAACATTTCCAGAAAATCTTATTACCTCAGGGACGTCAAAGGCTGACATAAGGTATTTTATACATGCTGGGTACAGTCCCAGAGTCCATTGCTCCAAACGCGAGCACGAAGACCAGTAGGATCTGGAAAATGCTCACTTTCCATGGATTGATACCATTCATACAGAGTGTGATAACCTACAAAAAAATATTTTGTAATAAAGCTTTCATTTGGGTTTTGACCCATCACCTATGATAAGAATTCAGGAAGCACCACTATGGCATGGCATACCTGAAGTTGCCAATAAATGATTACTGAATACAAATTTCAATGCCCAACTCCAGCAGCAACATTAAAAGTAGTGCTGCAGTTAAATGGGCCAAAACATGGAGGCCGCCTATAATAGCTCTTCTCCTCCTTGATAGTTTGGATGGTACGAATGAATATGACGCCATCAGTAAAGTAAGACTTCCTACTGAAGAGACATAAGAGTGCTCAAAAATATAAAGCAAAGCACTCCATATCGTGCCTGAGAAGCTTTTCAGACGCCCAGACCAAGTTTCTTCATTTAAGATATGAACAAGATTACACTGGAACAAATACAAATAAAATCAAGAATATGAATACAAATCGACATGTTGGTCAATTTTACCTTCCAAGTGATAGTAGCAATATGAATACAAATCAAGAGACCATAAAGGGTAACGGATGATTTATGTGATGCAAAGTATTCATCTGAGGCTGGTACAAAGAATATGACATGTCCAGTACCAACCTACTTTTGGTCAACAAACATACTACAAGATTTACAGTAATTACTAAGGGCAGCCCCAGTGCACGAAGCTCCCGCTTGCGCAGGGTCCGGGGAAGGGTCCGCCCACTTGGGTCTTTTGTACGCAGCCTTTCCCTGCATTTCTGCAAGAGGCTGTTTCCAGGACTTGAACCCGTGACCTCATGGTCACAAGGCAGCAAACATTCTTCAAAAAGAAAAGGCAGAAATAAGCAAATAAAAATAAATCCATAACAGAGGTCAGCCCACAGAAGCAAGAAAGGTGCAAGTACTACTTAGTTTACAAATCTGGGAATAAATTTGCTAGTGGTGGCCGACTGGTACAGTCCAGCTGATAATGACTAATTGCTCTATTCTCAGTTATTTAGCCCTTTTTAGATGAGTTGGAACCCTTTGATGTTGTCGGTTGTTCATCTTCTTACATGAATATTTTACAGATGTGTTGGCAAAGTTCTAAATTCTTCAAGAGATGATTAGATAATTTATTAGAGAGACATTTAATGAAGTGGAGCTCAGTTTTTTGAAGATGAAAGTGAGAACAATTTTACTATGAAAAAATGCTTCCAGGTTTTGATTTCAGAAAAATCAGAGGACAAAAACTGAGGCTCAAGATTACTATTAGCAACTAACCTCCACAGTTACTACTAATTCAAATGTGCGACAAAGGATAATCTTTAAAATAAAATGGCCATTTTGAGAATCTGCAACTAACCTGTGGGAACATTGAAAACACCAGTATGAAGTATATAAAACCACCAATGATGTCAAACTGCCAATTCTTTTTGCGGAACTTCAATATGTTACCCAATGCAATCTGTGAATTTAGTAAATTAGATTGTGCTCATCTCACAATTGATGGTATAGTACACAAAAGCTTCTTAAGCTGATCACTGAACTAAATAAGCAAGAATTACTTCATCAACATAGGAAAAAAAACATACCCCACTAGACTCATCATAAGATGGATAAGCTGCCTTGCATTCATAGGTGGTTCCAGAGAACCTCTCAAAGTTTCTGAAAACATGTGTTGGGTGCAAAAAGGCGCCACCACATCCATTGACAAGCAAGTGTTGCACAAAATTAGTTTTTTCTGATCGAGTGGCAGAGTGCCTCATAAAATGGTGTAAATCCCCTGCCAGGCGAAGTTTACATCTTCCTTTCAGGTATTCCTGAATTAAATGTGACACATTCTTGCCTGTACTCTCGTTCCAATACCAATCAAGAAGCCAGTTTGGCTCATGTGTTACTACAACCACAGAATCATTCTCTCCAACCTGCACAGCTTTAGTATTGAAGTCGATCAATTAAATCTGGAAATATTACCTGCAACTTCCAAGTTCCAAGAGATATTCTGGAAAGGTAAGAGGGATTCCTTCCAACTAGAAAGCAAAAGGGGCTAAGAGCCTATCAGCCTAAGACTACAAAGAATTTGCAGCAACTCTTTTTGTGTTTACTGTACATGCAAATATTAGCCAACATACATGGTTGAAGACTTGAAGCAATTACTAACGTATGTTGTCCCATGTGAAACCAAAAATAAGGAAATGAAACTCGTTTAAAAGAAAAAAGATGAGCAAGCGAAGAAAAATGCACCTTATTCCGACAAACATCTGCAAAGAACTTGAATTGGTACACATCAACATCACCATGGAGAGATAAATCAAGACCAAATATCCACCAACCCTTGGGAAGATGCAATGCAAAATAACTCTTCTTCTGAGGCAGAAACCATCCACCTAACCAGCTTTTATGACATATATATCTCATAAAAGTATGGAGCCCATCAAACCAGTCTGTTATAAAAAAGTATCAGAAATTGGGAAAGGAACAAAACACAAACATGCATTGTATTCCTTACATCATTGACCAAGTACACAAGAAAGAAAATAATATGAGATATTATTAGATTAATCAAGAATGTTTACAAACCATGGTTTCCAGGAATTATGAAACACTGTGGTCCATCATATTCAGTCATCTTTGATACACCAGGAGGAAGCTCAGGCTTATCCAAAGCTATATGTTCATCACTGTACCAAGGTGGAGGCTGTAGAGCGTACTCAAAAGGCCTAAAGAAGCGTCTCTCGTATGTAAATGATGAAGGGTTTGGGTACCTGCAAATTCGAAAACGACAGATCTATGACTATGATGCACTAATGCAATGGACTAAGTCATGTCTAGTTTATAGATTATGACATATGTATGGGCAATATTCAATAAAGATACATATCTCAGCATGCAAGTGATATGAGATGATATATCTAGTGACTACATGCCATACAAGTATTAGGAATTATGAACTAGAAAATGTTAAGCTGTATGGAGCCAATGGAGAATGCAGAAGGCACAAAGAATCGCATATCTAAAATAATATCAGATTTTCCTCCTGAGAAAGAAGCATGTCATCTTATCCACAAGTACTATTGCTTGAATCATACAGAGGCAACCAGAATAACCTTTTTCAGGCAGAGAACAATATGCAAAATATTATGGTGCACAGAGATCAATAAAGTGTTTCCAAAAAATAGGACAAAAACTCAAGCCAGACTAACTAGATATTCCAACACTCAGTTAGAACTCAGTTGCATATAATTCCCAAGGTAATAGGAAGAAGTGAATCATGTGTTCCTCCTAGCCAAGCATAGGAAGACAAGAAATGCTTTGCAAATGTGCACAAGTACATTGGCTGCAGAGAAGAACCAGGTTTGGTTAAATATGGTACAATCTTACGCAAGATCTCCGCCGATAATAAGTAAGTTCCCGTGGAAGAGTATGCATAGAGCCACCGATAACAGTCCTAATAGATGGTTGGGCTAACAGTCGGGCAACTGTATATGATGAATTCCTCCATCACCGTGTCTGCAACAAAGTCAAACCAAAGGTCTTCCCTTTCATTGAAGTAGTCATACAATAGGTCATCATTTGGAGTGTTGTCTGTTGGTCCTTTCATTGCAGCCTACAGACGGATGTAGAAAGTAGTTTGAGAAAAAGAATATTTGGACAGAAAAATGTGCAAAGACGCAGATAATAAAGCTGGAAATTGGAAATTTACCTGCATCATGCGCATGTCAAATCGCCCAACAAAAAGAGTCACAGAGACCATAAGATCAAATGCTGTCTTGAATAAATCAGCAGATGTCCTGTGTAAATATAAATTCAACATGTCAGGTCTTTTTTGTTGGTTTCATGAAACTTGGTGTAGTTAAAGTTATAGAAGGGCCTACCCTGAATACCAAGGTACCATGTCCAGGAAATCTGGTTTCATATGCCTCTTCAGCTTCTCATCCTCCAAATCCATTGATGGGTGGGTAAGAGCCCATCTGAAGTATTTACGGAACATAACCAATAATTAGAATTACACAATCACTAATCATTCAGAGAGAGAACTTAAGGTATCAGAAAGAAACATTAGTAGCCACCACGTGGCAACAACTATTTCAGCAATATTAGTACGCACAGTGTGAAAAACTAAAGGCATACCCAGTCGATCTCTCCACAACAAAGTTAGCAATATAGAGGCCAACAAATGTAGCCCACAATGAGTACAAAGGAGATATTTCATCCGACGGGCCAGCACAGGATCCACTGCAAACTAACTGGAGAAAAACATGATCAAAGAAGTGCAGCATGGATGTCACCATAAGAAAACGTGACTAGAAATAATAGATGAATAAAGGAGAAGCAAGCAGTACCTCCCCGTAGATAACCCATTTTGCCAGAATAGGATAGTCACTTGCAGATCCAACAGGAGCAAACCAAGACGAACATATCTCATCTTTCAACTGATTCATACGGAGAAAATTTGATATCCAGGTACTTCCGTTTTCATTTTTAAGGAAAGCAAGCAAATTGGGATCAGAACTACTACCAAAAGATTTGCTCTTGTGCACAGCACGATTCCCACAATGACTGTAGAATACACAGCATGCAATACTGATTACCTGAAAGAAAAAGATGAATCTTGCTGCGATCAATACAGAGGAAAAGAATATAATGGCCATTCTAGAGAACTTACTGTACAGTTCTGGAGAATTGTCCATATTCCTGGCCTCGCTCCTGCCATCCGTGCAACCAACCCAATGTACCAGAGACCAATAAATATGATATGAAAGGCAATGATGAAAAGGACCGAGGAGAAATATATTGTCAAGAAAAGCGAAAGGTTCATGCGCATATCAACCCCCATTGACTGGAAACTAGGAAGATGGTACAGGGATGCAAAGCAAATCCAAGCAACATACCTGCAATTGTGCAATATTACTATATGAGTGGTGTACATAACAATTAACATAGAGCTTTCTCTGGTCAATGAAGAAAAGCCAAAGGATTAAAATATTGACTTCTGAAGAAGCCTGAAAGTGGATACGTACCAGCGGTTAAAATTCGAGTAGCTTGGCTGAATGGTCCTTCCAAGAAAAGGAGATGAGAAGAAATAGAAGAAGCCAATGAGGCAAACATACATGGACCACCACTTGATATTGTTGTCCAATCTATGTATGAGCGTATGCATGTTGTCAGATGATATAAAAAAGAGACAGGCAATAATCACTGCAGTCATAATATGCCTGGAGTGTTCATGCGGGTACGGGTATGTATGTGTCAGGATAGTCCTAACTCTGCCCATCTTGAGGGTTCCCAAGAGTGGGCGTGGGCTACCAATCTGCTTGTCTGAACCCATCTGGACCTGGATATTTTTGCACAAGCAGAAGAGCTGTTTTGGTGTAAATGGTGTGCTACTGAACTTCTCCTTCAGGCATCAAGCTGAACTGATGTGATGTGATGCATGCCTGAATGATTGCATATTATAATGTCAGATCTGTGCAAAAGTAAAAACTGAAAATACGAAATTGGAAGTATCAGAGGAAATAATTGATCATTAATGACGATGCTTATTTCATATTTATGAACTCATTAATTAATACCTATGTGTATTGCACAGTTCTGAAGCACACAAGGTACGGTATCAGGATGGCGATACTTATTTCAGAGTTTGACAGCAAAGAAGTGCAATCCTAAAACCTAGAGAAGAAGAAGTGGCATCCTAATTCCTAGTACCATTCGTAACTCGTAAGCAAGGATCCAGAACTGTAGAGCGAGGCTGTGGTAGCACGTGGGCAGAGTCAGCTGTGGCGAAGCAAGGTATCATGAGTTTACTCAACAAGTAATAACTAGTGCAAAGTGGGCAAATATACTAGTACTACCAATGTTTGTTTACTTATTGTTGTCAAAAAAATTGTTTGTTTTACTTGTTAATTACATAATATTAATACAAGTCAACTTTTCCGTTTGTATTATTATAACCCACCAGCACCAGGGGGAAAGAGTTTTTTCTTCTTTTTTGCCCCGGAAGGAAAAAGAAGAAAAAAAAGGCACTCCACATTGGAGGGGTCCGAAGTCCTAAGGCGTCAATCGATGAATGGAGTGAGATGGATGGGCGGCTAACGATGCGAGGTCCGCTCTGGAGAAGGAGGAGAATAGCCTGCCCAATCACCCCATGTGTGAGGCGGGTGGATGAAAAAGGAGTAAATTTTAGTGCCGCAATGCAGCAAGAAAAGAAAATCCTGAGCAGTTCCTGTCGTGCCTCTACTACTACTAATAAAGAGTGGGTTTCGGAATCGATTGCTCACCACTGTTCTGTCTGTACTATGCATGCATGTATGTAGTGGAAAAAGGAAACAAGAATGGAGGAAGGAATGGAATGGCAGTTAGGGGCGCGTTACCAAGCGCGGCGGGAACGAACCGGAGTCCGGATGGATCTCCACCTCCACCTCCACTCGACGGCAATCCAATCCAAATGCTGGCGTGGCGGGGCAGCGCAGGGGAGGGGAGGAGGATGCGCGGGCGGGGCGGCTGTGTGATCGGGAAGGGACCTCGCTTCGGCTGGTTGGGTCCGGCCGAAGAGAAGGGAGGAGGAGAGACGAGGAGCGCATCCGCATCGATGGCCAAGACCAAGAGAAGAATATCCCCTCCCTCTGCCCCGTGCTCCTTTTCTGTTGTGAACCATCCCAGCCGTTCATTTCAAAAGCCCCGATTGCTGCTGCTTCTTTTCTTTCTTTCTTTTTTTTTATTAATTAATTAAAGTTTTTTATTACTGCTCGTTGCGTCATTTGGAGATTAGCCGCCGATGTGATGCCAGAGGAATAATCAGGCCACAAGGGGAGAATATCCGTACCGTATCAAAACTAGTGGCATGGCTGTACGTTGGCTTCTAAGAGCACCTTCAACGTTACTTATTACGTCACGTCTTCTAAAAATCTATATAAGTCAGGCTGGGCAATCGGTTTTACCCGAAACTTCGGTTCGGTTTCTTCCGTTTCTATAAATTTTGGTTTTTCGAATGTAGCACCCAATCGGTTTGTCGCACAACCAAAAACCGATGAGTTCGGTTTCGGGTTTTTCGGTTCGGTGTTCGGTTGAAACCGAGCAAACCGATCGCTGCAGGCATAGAGAAGAGAGAGGGAGAATTAGAAGCGTCTTCGCCGTCATCCGCGTCGGCCGCTCACCACTGCCGCAGTCAGATGCGCCGTCAATCTGTGGGTCGGGACGGCCCTACCACCGTCAAGGCTTATGCGGCGTCATCGGGCCACCGAGGCCGCCACCACCCATTTCGCTTATTCCGCCACGCTTAGTGCTTTGGTAGCCGCTTCACCGTCGCCCGGTTGCCGCTTGCGTAAGGTGGACAAAAACTCGAAGCTCGTTAGCTCGCTTCGGCTGGTGGTTTGGCTCGATTGATTTCGGCTTTACCATTCGTTAAGATAACGAAATGAGAGCCGAAACCAAGATTTTAGCTCGTTAATTATAACGAGCCAACTTCGAGCCAAATAGCTTCATGAGCCACTCATGAGCTAAACGAAACCAAGCTTCTAGGAAAAAAAAGTATCATTTAAGGTTGTGAGATGCATGAATACTATAGTATTTTATTATACTTGTATATATATTAGCGCATATTAATTTTTTATTCGATTTAAGGTTGTTAGATGCATTTCTTTTGTATTATTATTGTTCTCAAACTTTAGATAAATGCAAATATTATATTTTGTGTATTTTTTATACACCTGCTCATGAGCTTAACGAGCCAAATCGAGCTTTTAACGAGCCGAGCCGAAGTTAGCTTTTCTCTCGTTAGGATAATTTGAAGCCGAAGCCGAAATGCCTAGCTTTCGTTATCTTAACGAGCCGAACGAGTCGAGCCGAACGAGCCGAGCCGGCTCGTTATCCAGCCTTACGCTTGCGCGAAGACAAGGGAGGGAGACGAGGATTGCTCGTGGAGTCCTGGCCTCTCGTGCGAATGGATAGGGTGAGTGAGAGATGTGTTGGGCTGCTGGGCTAGTGGGCCATTAAGGCTGATGTACGTGTGCGGAGACGGGAGGAAGACTGTTGTGTTTCGTTGGTGCTCTCGGTTTTTCGGGTCCTCGGTTCGTCGGATCGGGAAATCAAATCAAACCGCCGCCGATAGTCGAACTTCCCAGATGTAAAAATCGGCCAAAACTGAAAACCGAAAAAACTGACATTTCAGCTTTCGCCCGCTCGGTTCTCGGTTTTCGCTAAAAAGTGCCGAGTCTGATATATATAAGTGATCTTTAGTAGTGTAGACTTTTCTTCTTCCCTACCTTTAAATTGGATAGGAGAGATGTAACGGATCACTTACATTTGAAGGAGAGATGGACTCTAAGTAACTACTTAATATGTTGAATAGCCACAGTCTCTTATATCGCGTACGTATTAGGGTGGATGAGGCAAATAAAATCTATTAGAGATTCTCTGGCCGAGTTGTACCAAATAGCACAACACGTGAAGCACCAAGGAGCCAGAGCCTCAAACATCGTGTTCTCTTAGCTGCAGCTACGACTACGACTAGGGCCGATGAGCTGCTAAGCACTAGTGCAGCCACACCCACAGCCGGCTTTTAGCAGAAGCGAACACACGTCCCTACTCGTTCGGTTCTACTAACTGCACACGCCACGCCACATAGCCGCAGGTTGCACAACCGAGCACCCCATTGTTAACAAATGGTTACAGGGTTGGCTAAAATCACAGTGAAATTGCCACAAACATGCATGCTCTACTGCTGCAAGGGGAGGGGTGGTTCGGAGCGAATCTGTTGCTGACCCTCCTCCGCTCCTGTTTGGTTGAGGGTCGATCCGCTTCAATTTGTGCTCAGGATGTACAAGCGAAGTCCTTCCCATCTTGGAGGCAAAGGAGCAGCCAGGTATATATTTCCTATTCGTGAAGAAGTATTTTGCGTGGAATCAAATCCCTTAGAGAGCGACTAATCTGGAGAGAGATGGTAGCGACGAGAACATTAATATTTGGCTTGATTCTTGATTCCCACTGGAATGTGAAGAAGACATGCACACCTAGGGCCAGAAACATCATCAAGGGCTACTTTGGAAACTCAACGGCCTGTTCGCTTGGTCGTATTTAGGTTATAAGGCATTGGCTTATCAGCCAATGAACAGTATTTTTCTCTCACACCAAATCAGCCAACAATATTTTCAGCCATGACTTATAAGCCAAACAAGCCCAAACGAACATGGCGCAAATCCCCTTGAGATCCCTGACATTTTTGGAAATCCATGTGAATATAATTTGAATAACCCATTCAGTTCTTCATGGAGGATTTTTCTTCCCTATTGTGCCTCCTCTTTTTTGAAATTAGCCCAAAATGAGTATTTGAATTAATTGATCGAGTCACTGTACAGTGGGACAAGCCAGCCTGTGAAAGATACTTTTTTGAGGAGGATGTGCAGCACATTGTGGCAATCCCTGTTAGACAAGACATGGATGATTTTTTTTAGCATGGCACTATGACAACAGAGGTATGTTCTCTGTAAAGTCAAGATATCACGTCCTAGGAAGAAAAAAATCAAAACAATTGCAGCAGCTGTCAGGAGAGACGTCTACAGCAAATGGTGCCGAATTCACTTTTGATTGGACCCCCAAAATTGAAACATTTTGTATGGCGGATTGCACATGGTAGCCTTCCCCACGAACAATGGAAATGCTACCGAGAGGGCGTCCACCAACAACAGTCCAATGGCCCAATAATCATAGCTCTCATCCACTCATCCCTAACCATAGTCTGCTGTCTCCATTCTCCGGAAAAATCACCGCTGCTCGAGCGGACAGGCTTCGCTGCGACCATGCTCCGCCGCGTCGCCTCGGCGTTCTCCACAACGGCCAGGGGCCCGACGGCTAGCATCTCCACCGCGCCCGAGTGCGGCCGCCCGCCTTCCTCCCTCTCCATCGCGCCTCCCGCCCGCCCACCTTCCTCCCTCTCCACCACGCCTCCGGCCTGCCACGGCCTTCTTTAGCTCGTTGGCCGTCTTCTCCCACGGAGTAGTGACAGCTCGCGCCAGACCCGCCACGGCCTTCTCCACCGGAGCAGCGACAGCTCGTGCCAACACGAGATCGGGAGGGCCATCATCCAGCGCCGCACCCCCATCAACCTCGCCTATCGCGGAAGGGGAGGCACGGGAGGCCTACGCCTACACCTGGGGACGCTTGCACTTGCACTTGCACCTACGCATGCACCCCCCCATCCATTCCGCGTCGTCGGCAGGAAGGGAGGCCTGCGCCACTGCAGTTCCCCACCAGGTAGGCCATGGCCGCCGGCGACGCTGTGTTTTAAGTGTTTCAGGACATTTTCAAACATGTTGCAAGTCTATGTTCCAAATA